CAGTGGTAGGTACAGGCCAATCCAGCATATTGGCCACCTTTTGAGGGTCTGTTGATACCCCATCTGGAGTGATGATGTGTCCCAGATATTCTATCTCCACCTGGCCAAAACAACACTTACTCCTTTTGGCAAATAACTTGTTCTCTCTCATAATGCCCAAAACTTCTTTTAGATGCACAATATGATCCTCCCAAGTTCTGCTGTATACCAATATATCATCAAAAAAGACTAAAACATGTTTTCTCAATAAGTCACCAAAAATCCTGTTCATTAGGGACTGAAATGTTGCAGGGGCATTGCAAAGCCCAAAAGGCATCACTAGAAATTCATATTGTCCACTGTGAGTGTTAAATGCTGTGAGGTACCTATGTTCTGGTGCCATGAGAATCTGAAAATACCCAAATCTAAGGTCCACCATAGAAAAGTATTGTGCCCCATACAATTCATCAAGCAACTCTTCAATTATAGGGATAGGATAGTCATGTTTAATTGTGAGCTCATTCAAGTACTTGTAGTCTACACATAGTCTCCAAGTTGTGTCTTTTTTTTTAACAAGAAGCACTGAGGAAGCAAAAGGGCTGTGGCTGGGTTGTGTAAACCCAGCTTCAAGTAGTTCCTTGACTATCCTCTCAATCTCTGTCTTTTGATCATGTGATACCCTGTATGGGTATTGGTGTTTTGGGGAGCTGAGGGGCTTGAGATTAATCTTGTGTTCTACACCTCTACTTGGGGGTAACTCCTCTGGCTCCTCAAAGACATCTTGATACTCATTTAAAAGTTCTTCCAATTGTGAATTAGATACCTGAACAGGTTTAGGCACTGTTATCCAATATATCTCCTCAATGTCAGCCAAGTTTTGTTCATGTACCATCTTGAACAGTACTGGTCCACTGATCAATTTGCATTCTGTGATAGATGTCAGTGCTTGCAGCTTCACCCTTTTCTTTCCCAAGGTAACAGTAATGATCATCCTCTTATAATCTAACTCTATTGGAGTACTTGCCTTAATCCAATCCCCTCCCAAAATTAGATCACACCCTTCATGTTGCAACACTCTAAATGTATAAGTGAACAAATGGCCCTGCATATCCCAGCCTAATTTCTCAGCCACTAGTGAGCTCACCATCCTTTCACCATTAGCCACTTTCACCAAAAGAGGTTTGGCAGGTGTAAGGGTGCAGCCCAGTTCCTTTGCTGTGAGTTCCCTGATAAAACTGAGAGTGCTTCCTGAGTCAACCAAAATGTGAAGCTGATGTCCTGCAACTTTACCACACAGCCTCATTGTAGTGAGGCCATCTTCTCCTGTTATGGTATTCAGGGACATCTGTACCTCATCCATGGCCTCTATTACTTCCTCACTCCCCTTTATTTCTGAATGGGTGTGCAAATAGGCCAACTCTTCCTCCTCTGTCATTATCATATAGTTATGTCTTTGTTTTCATCTGTGCCCAAATGTAAATTTCTCATCACAGTTATAACATAGGCCCTTCTCCCTCCTGGCAGCCATTTCATTGGCTGTGAGTAGCTTAACAGGTGTTTTTGTCTGGTTAGTTGCAGTGGCCTTTGGTTGTAGGTGTGGTTGTTGGTCATTTCCCTTGGTGTTGTTATAGGTATTGTACTGGGGTCTGTGCATTCCTTTGACTTTCCTTGTGATGGCACTCAAAGTCTCCATTTGCCTCTTGCCCAATTCTATGGTCTGTTGTAAGGTAATGGGGTTAAACATGGAAATAAAGGCCTGTGCCTCTTCAGGTAAGCCACTAATAAAGCTGGCTATGAAATAATCTTCAGAATACCCCTTGTGATTGAGCAGCTGCATACATGCCTTTAGTTCCTCAAACTTGTCCACATAGTCCCCATAAGCCCCAGTCTGTCTGAGTTTGTTGAATTCAGCAATCACCTTAGTTTCCTTCAAATCTTCAAATCTTGCTGATACTAACTCAAGAAAATGCTCCCATTCTATGTTTCCCTGGTTAGCTACTGAGTTTTGGTACCACAAGGCAGCTTTGCCTTCAAAATTCATTGCAGCTAGGGTGACTTTCTGTGTGTCTGGGATGTTGGATACTAATTTGAAATAGCCATTACATTTAAGAATCCATGACCTGGGTTGAGTCCCATCAAATTTTGGGAAGTCCACTTTTGGTAAAGGGCTGATGAGATGAGGTGTTGGATTTTCCCACTGTAATCTCTGTTTCCCAGAAGGGGGAAACTTTGAATAGGACCCCTCTCCTAGTATAGATTCCTCAGCTGGTCTTTTCTCTGGGTTCAGAAGTTGCAGCTGATTTGCAGCTAGGATGTTGGCTAGGTGATCATACTTGCTGTTCATGGTGTTGTTGAGTTCCCCCAGCTGATCCTTAACCTTTGTACTGATAGTGTCCATCTGCTCCTGTAATTTCAACTCAGATGCTTCTCGTTTCATAGCTTCCATTTGCAAGTTTTGTTCAATTTTTCTTCGAGTTTCCTGCAAATTTTGATCCATTTTCTTTTGGGTTTCTTGCAGATCTTTGAATCTGGTGCCTTCAGCCATGTTCCGAGGATCCAAGGCTCTGGATACCAAATGTTATGGACTGGGTTTTTGATTTCTGAATTTTTTGTAATTTTTGTAATTTTTATAAAGCCTTAATTTAAGTAAATGCGAACTGAATTGGTGAAGAAGAAAGGGGAGGAATTTCAGAGAATTTAGAGGGATGAGAGAGAAATTAGAGATGAGAGAAATTGTAACTGCCAAAAAGTTGGCTATTCTGCGTGACTCTTTTCCCATTTATAGTAGAAATAACAAACATAATAATAAGTCATCATTTGGGCTTTTCCTAACATGTTGTAGCCCAATCATTAAATAACTGAAATCACAAAAACAATTCATTTGGCCCAATCTAATTAATAATGCGCTGGTCCGGCCCAACTCCCTCTTTCTCCTTAGCTAGTCCATCATCTTCATGTCCATCGATCAAATATGGGCATAATCCTCTATTCTCAGTCTTCTCCAAGGTCTCGCCTTTTCCACGATCGACCTCGCTGGTTTCCATCTCCAAATACTTTCCTTTTCCTCCTTTAGCTACAACATATTTTAGGTGTGCGTTTTTTTTTTCTTTTGTCTTTCTGTTTTTTTGTTTTGTTTAGTCCAACGGCGTCTGGTGTTTAGTTTTCTATATGAAGTAAGTGTCCCTTTTAGAGAGGTCTGTTTTATAATTGTTTGTGTCTCCTTGATGGAGTTGTGGTCAAAACTTTGTTCTGGTTCCAGTGGTATCCGTTGATACCTCGATTTGTACTCTTTTAAATTTTTAAATTATTAATATATTAATGGAAAGTTAAAAAAAACACATGTAAATCTTTAGTAATAACATCTGAATCCTATTTTTTGATAATAAATTTGGAGATTCTTATGGCAAAATTTGAATCCCATTTTTTTTGTATCATATTTTATTTTTTTTTACCAAAATTTTAATCATATATTTTTTTGTAACAAATTTGGAGATTCTTATGCAAAACATGTGTCAATTGTTTATGAAAATAATTGTAAATACAAATTAATTTAAAAACCGTACAAATTGGATACAAATTTAGGAAGCAAATAGTTATATAATTGTTAACAAATTCTTCCAGTCTTATTGAATAATTTTTTCTTTCAAAAAATTTGTGTAAATTGGATAAAGTCACGTGTAATTTTTATTTTTAAATAAAACAGATATTTGGATGGGTTGTACATTCAAAATTGTGTCCACATTTTTTGGTAACAAAAATGGTTCATCATTGATATTTAAAGTCACTTTATCTAATTATTTAGAAAAAGTTGTGTGCAACTTTTCAAAATTTAAATGCATCGATTTTTTTGAATTCTTATGTTTTTTCTTAACCATGTTTTACCGAGATTTTGGTAAGTTTATATCTTTTTTTTGTTAAGTTCATGTAATTTTATTTAGGAAAGAGACAATTGCATAAACATTAACAATTTATTTCAATTTTTTGTTAGAATTATTTTCAATTCAATTTATTTGGTACAAAATCAGTGCAATGTTAGGAAAATTTGGTTGCATTTTTAGGAAAAATTGATGACTTTTTTATTGGTTTTTTTAAAAAAAATCGAATCAATTTGTTTGATAAAAAAATCGGTTTATGGGTAGAAAAATAGGTTTCATTTCTAGGAGTAACTAATGATTCTTTTTATTTTTTCTTAATTGAAATTTAGAATTAGATTTAAAATAAATAATGGGTGAAAGTCCTTAAAATATTCTACTTTTTTTTTCTACTTTAATTTTGTTTAATAAATAAGATCCTTTAATTTTTTTAAAAATTGTTAATTAATAACTAATAATATGCAATTTTGGATAAATTCGAACACATATGTTGTACTTTACGTACGAAAGAATCAAATCAATAATGTTGTACATAAGGAAATGCATAATAACATACAAATTTCACTTTCATGAAGTTACTAATGGCATGAGACAATTTAAATACAAAAAATACCTTTTAAAAAATAAACCCGTGCATCGCACGGGTACCGTACTAGTTAAAAATAATTTATAAAAATAAATATTGTGTTAATATTAAAACTAGTTTTCTAAATTAAATATTGGATAATATGAAAATTAATATTAAAACTAGTTTTCTAAATTAAATATTGGATAATATGAAAATTGTTTACTCATATTTATTTATTTTTGTGATAATTCACTCAATTGAAGAATTTTAAATAATAAAATAAAAATCATGTTGAGAAATATTTATTTGGGGGCATTGATAAATTTAATTTGGGCGGAATATCAACTTGTAAAATTGCTAATTGAGTAGTATTTACATTGCAATAGGATGATAATCTGCGCTATAAATACATCATATAGATGATTATTTGTATCACGGTAGAACAGATATTGCCAATCAGAAATCACAATTATTTTTGTGAAGCACCTTTAGTCCATAACTTATGCAGAAAAATTAAAACATCTGATCCCATGTGTTTCAAGAATAATTCATCGCAACGCAATGATCAACTTCTCCGTCTTAACAAAATTTACATGCTGAATCGAATCAAACTAATTTAAAACGNATTAATGCAATTTCACATATTGCCAATAATAATCTGAATTACCATATACAAATACACACACTGTACAAATCAGTCAGAACCCCTCGAAGTAAAACACCTCGTGCCACAGCAAAATTTTCAGGCACGCTAGAGGACATCTCTCAAAACTTTATCCTACGCCCTTATAATCAAGAGAAGTCAGACATCTTAGGGAAGACTGGAAAATCATGTCAATTTCAAATACCACTCACATTGTATGTCGCCCATCGGACTTTTCTCTAGGGACTCGTTCTTCCTGGACTTCTTCCAAGTCCTCGTCATCACCCCTTTGACCAGCTTGCTCTTTCCAATAGGCCACCAGCCTCTTCAGACGAGCCACTTCCTTGGATGAAACATTTTTACTCGGATCATTCACAATTGACCGAACTCTGGAAGCATACCTGTATGAAAGATAAAACTTCTCAACTAACATCAACATGTTGAACGAGTACGGCTATCTTTGGTGGACAAATAAGCTAGCCTATAGCTTATTAGGTTAGCTTATAAGCTTCTTGTATTTAAATAAGCTTCGTTTGGTAGGACGAGCTTATTTAAAAAGCTCGAGCTTATCTCATAAGTTTCTTTAGGTAGCTTTTCAAATAAGCTCGTTGAAATTTTTATTTCAGCCAGCTTATCAGCTAATTTTACCAAACAATTTTATCATATAAGCTAGCTTCTCAGCTACAAGTCATAAGCTATAAGCTCAAAAAATACTGATATGCTCTTATCAGCTAGTTTTACCAAACATAGCCTACATTTAGTTTCTTTCGGACGTCCCAAAACAAGCTATTAATGGGCTAGATCGGGCAGGGCATGGCCAAGTCTAAAAATAGGGCCACCTTTGCAAAATTTTATTGTATTTTTGGTAAGGGTATTATCCGATCCAGTCACTCTAATTGGGCCACACTCAAAATTGCAGCTCTATACAAAACTAATTAATGTTGGTACTACTAAGAGATCATAAGTTTTTTTCTTACGTTAAAGAGTTGTAGGTCTCGTCCAGATTCGACTCGGCAGGAGATATATTTACAAACATTAGTGTTTTGGCATTACCGCCAAGTGAATCACTCATCAACATCGTCAACTTGTGGTTTCTATACGGAATGTGTTGACTGCCGGAAGCCAAAGCGCTGATAACGTCTCCAAGAGCAGAAAGTGATTTGTTGATGCTTTGGGCTTCTTTTAGCTGACTACCAGAAGAGCCCGATTTTTTCACCCTTTCGGACCCGGCAAGATCTGCAAAGCTTAGCTGCACGAGGATTAAAGCAAAAGGACTTGAATGAAGCAAAACAGGTGTAACAAATAATACTGAAAAATGGTCACAGTCCTTTCCTGAAATTTCCTTAGAAGTTTGAGCAAAGGGTATTAAAGCAAAAGGCTCGAATGAAGCAAATCAGGCAGAAGCATAATACTAGAAAAAATGGTCATAATCATTTTCTGAAGATTAGAAGTTGAACTTTCGTGAAGGGGGTAGCAGCATGAAATTGTATGGAGGAAGAAAACATATAATACATTCAGATAATGCATACCAACATCTAACTTAATTTAATGATTCAAGGATGATACGTCCATTTGTGCAGTGCAATAATCTTTTAGAAAGGTTTTCAAAGACGCTTGGATGATACATTTGTGCCGAGCTATAATCTTTCAGGATGGTTTGATCATGAAGTTACTACTGAGATCTAAGCTAATTACATAAACTTCAACCTTTCAAAATTACAAAAATCTTATCATTATCATGAATCTTTCAACAAATACCCCTCAGATGAACACTTAACTTGAATTTTAAACACGTAAAAGCACACTTATGTTGATGAACGATATACTCACATATGTTAGTTATGGTATGTGATGTTGAGCATTTCGAAATTTGCAAGTACTGCCAAGGCCTATGTTTGCTAAACACCATAAGTTGACTTATAACTTAAAGAGCTAATGCTTTTCGTACTCCAAGAAGTCTGGTTTGCTTGGATGCACTTTTTTAAAAAACTCGGGCTTATTTGAAATGCTTTTCAAGCAAGCTTTTGGGAAAAAAAAATGGTTTTATTATTTCTTTCCTTAAAATTACAATTTGTGCCATCACATATGTAAAAGGGTTTGCACAATTCTTTTAAAATTCTTTCATATTCTCCCTGGATAAGTGATCATTTGTTTCAAGATAAAATAGTTTGGAGTACAACCTTATCAAAGATCTAAAATTTTATCTTATAAAAAATTTACCATTCTTTATTGTTTCTGTGAATTATTTTCTCATTATGTTATCAATATCAGAAATTAATTACTTCACATGTATCAGAAAAGAAATTAATCTGTAAATTACTTGTCAGAGCTTTTAGTTATAACTGTTTTGGAATTTATCAATTAGTTATTTGGGAAATAATTCTGGGAATCCTTGGAATTTATTATGCTTTTGTTTCTGTGTGCAATTAAATCATGAACAATATTTGGTAGCAATTTGTTTCATTTGTACTGAATGGTTTGAGATACATACAACCAAAAATCTGTTTCTCTATTGAAACTCCTTGAAATTTCTTTGAACTCTTGGCAAATTTTTAGTGTCCATTTCATTGGATATGATGATTATTTTTCTTTATACAAGAAATAGAAACAACAATAATCATAATAACAATTTTAAATTGAATAGAATTATTTAACTATATACGTTTAAGTAATTTTGAGTTTTCCAGCAAGCTTAGAAGCTTCCTTTGCCAAATATTACCATGTATATTTAATTGAAGTTTCAGCCATTAACTAACTTTTCAGCTTAATCAACCCAACATATCCTAATTCAATTTTGACAGCTTTTTCGACAGAATAAATAGGTACCTTCCCTCTGGCAACAGATTGAGTTTGAAGATTTGTACTCTCAACAACAACAGAGAGTATCAAATGTGATCTTGAGCTTTGTTCATTCATCAAGGTTCCAGCTGTATGCCGTTGTTCAGATCCTCTCTCAATAATACTTCTCAACTCCTCAAATGATGTAATCGATAACATTGTTACATTTTCCACAACCACCATACCCTATAAAATTAAAGACAAACAATTAAATCATTGAAAAGCAAATAATGTGCTAGTAGAGAACTGTAGGCTATAAACATACAAACAAATACCTTTGAATCTTTTTTTATTTCCAATTTCAAACGCTTAGCATTCTTTGGCAACAAGAGATCAATTAGGGTGTCTTGATATAATTCCAACATGTATGCCTGCATGCATTCATAAGATAATGGGTCATAACAAATAAACAAACTTCCACAACTTTGACGCTGTAATTAATGCTTTTGAAATTGGAAGGAACATAAATGATGCAACCATTTGTTGACCTCAAGACAAAGAATTACGAAAGAGAAAAATAAATATATTATTAAGTAATCAACTTGATTCTAAGCCTTCGTTCTTAATTACCTTCAAAGAGAAACGGAACAAGGAAAGGAATCTATGAAGAGAAGAGAACGAGTAGCCTGTATGTGTACTTTTTTATTACCTTCAAACTAAAAGAAAACTTTTTACTATCATGTTTTATAATTCTGAAGAGTTCAGCTATTGCTCGTGGAGTGAGCCCAGGGTTACTCTCAGATCCATATATTGTGAATGTTTTTCCTGAACCAGTTTGCCCATAGGCAAATATGCACACGTTGTATCCATCAACAGCTGATTGTACCAAGTACTGCATTAGATAAGGAGAAAAAAACATTATTATTAGTGAAATTGAGTGTGTATGCCTGAATAAATTGGTTTTGTAATAAGGTAATCTAAATTAAATTTTCTTGATCATGCCTTGGTATCCTCAAAAACATCCTCTTGTGAGGCTTGACCATCAAAAACATGATCGTACATGTGTTGCTTCACTCTATCGTCTCTCCATGTGTGCTCTACAGTAAACTCATCAACATTTGCAAGAACATTTTTCTCCTTTTCATATATTTCCTTTTCACTTAGGGGTCTTAATCGACAATATACACGTATTTTGCCCTTCATGTCTGAGAAGAAAATGAAGGATACTCTATCATTCAGCGAACATGATGATTAACAATCACAATGAGTACATTATGAAGAGGAAATACCTTCCATCATGTTAAAATACCGTTTTCTCATAACTTGTTCCTCCTTGTACAGTGCCTCCATCTCAGCTAATTGAGCCGCTTGCATCTTCAATATTGCAGCGGTTTGCTCATTTTTCCTGTCGATATCCTAAGCAAACAATTATCTATCAATATGCGTCATAAATAAATTACCTTACAAACATATAATGAGTTCCAGGATCGAGAAAACAGAAAAATTTCATGTCAAATTATTTTTCACCTCTTTCATTTCTCTAAGCTCTTCAAGTTCCTTGAGATTATTTTGCAAGGCACATAAATCTTTGTCTTTGATGGCAATAGCAGATTGTGCGACGATTAAGTTTTGTGTGGTTTCTTCCAACTTCTTTTCAAGCTCGATAATCTGATGCTTCATAGTCTTGCGTTCATGTTCAAACCGTTTCTCAATAAGAGCAATCTACATTCGGGAAAATAAGCAAAATCTCAAGTGATGTAAACGTCCATTAGCTATTAATAATTGACAAAGGACAAGAATATTGTTTTACCTCATCAGTATACTTCTTCTCAAGTCTCGAAAATCTTTCTTCGAGTAATGTCTTCTCATTTACAATTTTCCTTTTGGATTCTTCTACCACAAGCAACTCTGCACTGCGTGCTTTTAGTTCACCCTGAGTCTTACGCAAAACCTATTAAGGATAAAAATATGCTGATCAAAATATTTCAAACAGTAAGATCGCTGGTCATATTGCGGAAAAAAGAAAAGAAAAGAAAAGAAAAACAAACGCAATGTCTCTAGGTTCTAAAAAAATGGTTGAAAGAAAAAGGTGATCAAGAAGAAGAAGAAGACCCAATATATGTTACCAGATTGTTTGTTTCGACCAACTCTTTCTTGATATTGCTCCCCAATCCTTGACCATTCAGCTTTGCAAACTTCTCTTCTAGGTTTTGTTTCTCCAACAATGCGGCCTACAAGTAATCATAATAAGAAGCAGCAAACACCAATGAGAACTGAATGGAATCACTTTTCAAGTATGATGACCTGAAGTGCCGATTCTTTGTCCTCACATGAAGCTCGCAATTTGTCACGTTCAGAAATGACTTCTTCCAAATATCTTTTCTCAGACCGCAGCATGCCCTTCAAACTCTCAAAATCTTCTTTCATTTTCAGTTCTTGATTTTGCTTTTCATGCAACTGCTCTTGCAACTAAACAACCAAATACACCATCTGTTAGAGACAAGTTCTAGAAATAAAGAAAAATTAATGAAAATTTGATCATCAACAGACAATAAGAGAATTATATCATTTAAATAAGTTATCTATAAAATTTTAAATATTAATTTATTTTTAATAAATTAATAATGCCAAATAATCAACTAAAAATCATGTTTTATGTTTAGATTCAACTTCTATTAAGTTATAACTACTACAAGTTTTTAGTAAATAAAAAAATAACATAAATGGAGAGCACTAGCAGGTTAACATACAAGCAGTTCAACTAACATGTAAAGTTTACTCTATTTGTAAAACACATTTACACTAATTTTAGTTACACTATTTTTAATTACGAAACATCCCATCTAGATATCTATTAATTAGATTATAATCACAATATAATAATTATGACATACTTTACTAGTTACTGATTCAATAGTTAATAAATCAATAATGTTAATTTACTGATTCACAAAGACGAAGAGTGTTCAATAATATTTAATCGTGATTAATTTGTATGAATTACAATTTTTCTTTTAATATTTTTTTTTTTCGTATCTTCCGTGCATTTGCACGGGCTATACTAGTTAGTTACAAAAATTGGAAGTCGACAGTAATAATGCTTCATCTATAATTTCTCTTTTTCAAGAAACTTGCATACTCACTTGATTGACTTTATTCTCTGATTCTTCAAGAGATTTTGACAAGTTTGAAACACGTTTCTCATTGATGTCTATAGTAGGTCGAACAATATCAGGGGAGTTTCCGTTAATTGAACCATGAGCAGCAGCACGTGCTTTGGAGTAGCGCCGTAACATCACATCATTTATATGTGTCTGAAGGGCCACACAGATTTCCTCCCCCTAATGCAATAAGAATGTTAACAGTGATAAACCTTCAACAAATAAATCCAAGACCAAAACATCTTGCTACTAACTGGATACCAAGTATAGTTATTAACCTGCTTTGTTTCAAATTGAAATATATGCAAGACACCAGCAACTCTCATCTTGAAAAAAACAGCAGTATTACTGCTTCCAAATTGCATTATGTCCCTCAACTCAGCCGAATGTAGATATTCTTTTGGCACCGGACGGAAGAAATGAACCTTTAGCAAACAATTCAATATGTTAAACAAGTAATTCATAGTAAGGATCTGCACTGAATAAAATGACATGCAAAAATAATATAGATATCCTTACCCCACGCTTATTAATGCCTAAAATAATTTTGCCTGGCAAGAGTCCAATGGGATCATCAATCTTACGGACAGCAAAGAACACTGAGTTCCCGTAAGGAAGCGTTCTCAAGATCCGTAAGAATTGTTGTCTCGCATCATCTTTTGTCAAATTCTCCTGCAAGTCAATAAAATATTACGAACATTTTTTTTCAAGAAAAAACTATCCTGACTTAACTGAATACATAAATAATTAAGGAGAAATTTCGGAAATGACCATAAGGCTAGATTAATGTGAAGAATTCATTTTGTATGAATTAATATACTTGTTTATATGGGTGAACAATATTTGTAGTGTGGTGAGGAAGTTGGAGAATGATGAGTTTCATAATTAGTTAAGTAAAACGTATAGTTGCATCTCTTTTCTTATACGATTATTTCTAGAAATCAAAATCTTGTTCATTTAAACTTTTGCATAGAAGATATACTATAATGTCTCTCACCATTGAGCGGTAACGAGAAAGAATATCTAATTCCCAGTCTCTTTTTGCTCGAGTAATTGCAATTTGTCTCGGGAGGAATCTTTCCAGAAGGGACGTCCAATCACTAGACACATGATTGAAAATACAGTTAATAATGAATCTTTCGTAGGTTTCTACTTACACATTAATGTAATTCATCAAATTTGTTAGATCTAAAAAAACTTTTTGAAACATTCTTAAGAAACTAGAAGGTGCAGTTAAGTCAAAATTAAAAACATGAACAGAAACACAGAAACGGAAAGGGAAAAAAAAAAAGGAAAGGTAACTAACGTGCATGTCTCTGGAGAAACAACATATCCAACTTCAACCAATATTTGCAGACCCGATAACTGTGCAGCATCATCCTTTCCAACCGGATAATTGCCCAACATATAATCATGTTGCAGCTGTAGAGAAGTAAAAAGGATGAGAGAGGAAAATAGCGCCAACAAAATAGCTGGTTGATAATCTCAAAACTAGATATATGTGAATAGCTGTAGAAATGCAGATAAAATCTCAAGAAAGCATAGTTGAAAACAGCCATACTTGGACATATGATAACTGCACGAACATCGGGTCTGTAACAGCTTCATCAGACTCCCGGAACAATTTCTTTTTAAATGTAAGTTTACACTGCAAAATCTCTCCTCTACTCCTGTCCTTTGACGCCTTAAAGTCCGCAAGTAGATCACCAATATACTTATTATCATCTAAACCAATATACTCCTCTGCAAAAGATAACAGCATTTTATTAAAAATGATGAATGTATTGGGCTAATTTAGAAAATTAGGGAACTACAACAATTTATTGCAACTTGGAAGTAAAAATAATGTAGCTGAAGAGAAATTCGTAAAAGTACCATTTCCAGGGTCAGGTGATTTTGAAACAACAGCCTTACGGCACTCGAACAAACTGAAGCTGGAATATGCTGATAGTTTGATTATTCCAGCAAGCTCCTGAAGTTTAAGCAGTGGTGAACAAAAATTGCATAAGGTGCATCAATATAATCAAGAACATGGGATGTGCTAAAATATGGAATGAGAACAAAAAATATAATAGAATGAAATATACAACTACTATCTCCGACAAAAAAAAGGTACATTAGCCAGCGTATTCAGAATCTTGAATGAGCACCAAAAGAGTTGCACATTCATGGCATATGCCTCCCACATCAATTGCTCATAAGAAACAAGAATATGCACTCTTAAAGACATAGCTATATATGCATCATCTAAAGCAATGAATGCGAGAAATAAATGTGAATAGCCAACACTATTCAAGCATAACATTTACACGAAGGCAGCATGATTTTATGCTTTTAGGTTGCAGAACAGATTACTTTATTCAATTTATCTCATACATCTAACAAAACATATAAAACCCCCAGATTACCTAATTCATGTGGATCGACGTCATAATTCATCTCGCCAGGTTATATATTTATAATCCCAGTAGATCCACCCACAATCCCAATTTGAATAACACGATGGTATCCCAATTACTCTCCATGAACAATCTATGCGCACTAAAAAACGTTTGTCAGTCAGAGATAGTTATTTAATGGAAGGCAAATTAAAATTGCACTTTTACTAACGCGTGTGAATCACCCTTGAGTAAAGCTCTCTCTGGTCTTCAGCAAACAATTAATTAAGCACCCTCTCTCCAGTGGTCAAATGTGTCTACAGTGTCCGATGTTCCCACTTGTTAATCCATACCATTTTCTATGTGACTCATTTCAAACTGATATGCATACTGATTCATAATGAACGATATTTTTGTAAACATAAGCCAATGGAAGGAGGAAAATGCCAATAAAAATTGTCACCTCTTCCTACATTAGTGGAGCAACTATAAATGAGTGGTGATGATGTTATTAATTCAGTACTGAAGTTAAATTTTTAAGATGTCTGAGCCTATACTTTCTCGTTAACAGTATTCCTAATGCAATTTCATATTCTATTGAAAAATACCTATACAATGGCCTAACTGCATGTCCGACCAAAAATTCCCCCAGACATTAACCAATCATGTAGATAAAACTTACAGAAACTTAGAATTACTTAGGGCATCATACTTTGAAGGGAGATAAGTTGAGCAGTTGTTTTCAAATAATAATCATAACAATCAACAAAAGCATCCATTGTTACACCTTCACTTATGAGCAGTATTAACATTTTGAGAACTTTACCCTAGAAAATTTCTTAACCATTTATATTTCAAAAATATTCCTACCCTTAGTTTTAGTGTTAAAAGGCATCATTAAATTAGAAATAATAATTAAATGAAAAAATAAAAACACAACTCCCAACATAAAAAGCACAATCCCTGAGAAATACCACCGCAGGTAATATTTTTCATGCGATCGGAATACCAAGCTCATTGAGACTCCACATGAAAATATGTAACTGCTATTATTAAACAACATACCAGATACCATATTATGAACAAACACAATAAATCAAGAACTATGAAAAGCTTGCATAGACGCTTCCAACAACATGAACAGTACCTCAACGGCATCAACTACAGTCGTGGCCATGTCGTATGTAATCTCTTCAAAGGTTTCATCCAAGAAGAACACTATAGTCGTAAGCTTTTTACCAGTCAAAGCTGCTTCAATCTCCTCACGTCCGGGTATTGTATGCCTAGGTCCGGCCTTCACAGACCGCTTTAATGCTTTTAATGTATTCATAGCAAGGACTTGAACTTCGGTATCATTACTGCCACCATGTGCCACAGTATGCACATATTCGGACAAATAGCCACCAATTTCCTTTCCAGGAGGCATGCAGGACGCACTTAAATACATAAGTTCCCATGCCTTAATCAATGAGCGCCTGTTATGACAAAGCATAATGTAACCCACACAGAATCGAGCAATGTGGAACAACAAAATTCCATAAACCCGCAAAATATAAGTTCCTAAAACCCAGTTAAACTCACTGAGCATCAAATGCCAAAAACTAAATTATAATGTCAGAAAAGCCCATAGAATGAACCCATACAACCTCAAGTTCCTAATGCATAGCATACCTGTCGGGATTATTTCTTGTCTGCTTCGAGATTTGCATAAAAAGCTCATCCCGGAGTTCTGAGCGCTTCAAAGAATGCTTGTATAGTTTGCTGATAAGCTCAATGCGTTCATCTAAGCTAGCCGGAGTGACTCGTTCAGAAGAATCAACCCCCATATACTTAAGGATAACCTGGAACAATTTAACAGCTCTGCTAGCGAGATCACTATTCACCTTCAGCAATGAGGTTGGAATAGGATCCTGTCAAAAGGAATGGCATACTTTTAGCAACCAAGAGTAGAAAGGAAAATATATCTAGGTATTGAACTAGTTACCTTCTGGAAGCACAACATGTCCTCAATATTAAACTTCTGTCTAACTTGAGTGCCCACTGTCTTTTTAGAGAAGAAACTACGTCTACCGGCCGAGTGTATCTGCTTCTGCATAGCCCTCAAAAACCCCTCTACCTAAGAGAATGAAATGAATAGTGAAGTGCATTAAAAACACAGCAACAGTAAAAGAGAATCCAGACAAACTAATGCATAATCACAAACTAAGAATAGCTATTAGCATATTTGCAATTTTTACCTGGATCTTGTCAATCAATGGTATAGCACCAGCAAGTTCGGGCGGCATAACTGAAGACAGAGTATTCGGCGTACTGCAAGTGAATGGCATAATAGCTAATATAATATCATAGAGTAGACATAAATGCTTCGGTTTAAACGCAACTGATGCCCAGCAAAAAGGGAAAAAGGAAAAATCTACAAGCATTAGTTCGGGACATGATAAAATCTTACGGCGGGGCAAAGTTAGAACCATCGGAATCATAATCTTCCGCGTTTGATATGGACAAAGAGCTGTTTGAAGGGGCTTCAAATCCATTGCTAGAGCCAAATGATGACCTGCTCGATCTCAAGTTTTGTGCCATATCGAACGTCGTTTCCCGACAAAATGCAGGACAGTGTCTAATTAGATGTTACAGTGGCTCCATAAATCTCTCCATCACATTAATTTATTGAAGGTCTCAAGTTGTCTTCGTGGCACGAACTAAGATTGAGAAAGACAACAAACAATCGTCACATAAAAATAAAAATCAGAAAAAAACAAGGATGAAATAAAAACATCAATTTGCGGTAGTGAATAAAAGCTACACACCACTACAACAAACAAACAAATAAAGACCCCTAATTTTTTACCAGGATATGCATTAACCCCGCTGAAACAATCTAACTCTTTGGTTAAGATCAGTAGTAAGAAATGGAAAAAGAAGAAGAAAAGACCATGAGATCTGACATAATTCGCTCAATAAAATTGACAACTTCGAAATTCAATAACTGCAGATCATAAGGCCACTAAAGCTTTCAGAACGAAGAATCAAGAAATCAGGCCGAACTACACAGAGACCACATAAAATACAGAACAGAAGATAACAATAAATTCAAAGGTATTACACAGATACCGAACAATAAAGTAAACACAAAATTATGCAAACAATTCACACACAAACCTAAGTAAAGTTAATCAAAGTGAAAAAATATACTCCGGAATCAGATCAAAATGTCTGACGGAGGAGTGTTTTTTTGACGAGCTAGAGAGAGCTGAGGGAGAGTAGGAGGGAGAAACGAGAGAGTGGAGGTCACGGGATTTTGAATTTTATTTAGAAAAAAGATTAATGACTTATTTTACCAATTTTTTTAATATAATTTTAGCATAAGTTTCTTTAGTATAATTTCTGGTACAGTACTTTTAGTTTTCATTATTAGTAGGGATAAGTGTATTAGTGTAAATTAATAATATTATATAAATAAATAAATAAATCAATCAAATTAAAAAAAATATATTAAATTTGAAATACTTTTTAGACAATTATATTATTATTTTACTTAATCTATATATTTATATATAATAAGAATTACCATTTTTCAAAAATAGCAAGTCAAACTTTGGTCAAACATGGTTGAACATTAATTGCATGCTGTTGATAGCAAGTTTTTATTTTATTTTTGTACAAACTTGTAGCATTAATTGTTTGCATTTAAATGGAGTTTGTTAAGCGGAGTTTGTTATTTATTTTTGCGCAAGATTAGGCTGTTCCTTTTTCATTTTCACAAATTAAAAAAAAAAAAAAAAACTTTATTTAACATATAATGTGTACGGTGTACCACATTACATACTTTATTTTATTAAAAAGATTACGCAATAATTTAATAATATAAACTTACGTTAGTATTTACAAAAAATCATTAACTCTTTTAACATCAACTCGACTACTACAATTGTTTTAATCAGAGGCTTTTATTTTTAATAAAAATAAATTACAGTTCATTTAATAATCAAAATATACAATATTTTTATTGTATTCTTTTTATTACATAAAAAAATACAAAGCTACTCTAATTGTGAAATCATCAATATTTTATTTGCGCAAGAACGGGATGTAACATTTTCATTTTCTTAAATTAAAGAATATTTTTAACAGAAATAAAATTACCAAATTGCAGATTTTTTTGTTTTTTTTGATAAAAAGAAATTACGGCTGGTTTAATAATAAAAAATAACTTTAGTATTTGCAAACAATTTGAATCGTTTTTAACATCAAATCGGCTAATACCATTAAATTAGTGAATTCTGTATATTTTATAAATACCAATTCATAAAGTTGCGATTGATTTAATTTTCAAAAAGAAAGTTTTTTGATAACAGAAAATCGTGAATCACATTGCAGCCTAAATTGGTGGATTTGGTTCCATTAAGTTCTAGAAATTTCGATCATTGAATATAATTTGAAATTAAAAATCCTTTCTCATATTTGATTTAAAAACTTCGATTGTGTTTTTTATTCTAAACAATCTGATTGCCAAAAAATTACCTTAGAACTTGAATTGAAAATTTGAAATTCAAAATCCCTTCTCGTTCCATAAAACCGGGCTTAATTCAAAATCTCTTCCTAATATAAAGGAATTTTTTCAAATTGAATTTCAAACATATCTAATCACATGCTTCTATCCTTGGATGGGTAACATTAAATGAAGGATTTTGTGCCACTTTAAAATTAACAAACCTCTTGGAAATTACAAAATCATATGAAATTTAATTTTTTTTGTTTCAATTTGTACGAAATTCAAAATGGTTTAAGAATTTCAAATCAATTGAAATTCGTCTCTTTAATTTTTTTCCCTAAGTTTCAAAATTTTACAATAATTAAGTCAAATTACAAATGTATTGTTTCAAAAATCAAGAGGATGATTTTGAAAATAGACAAATCTTTTAAAAAAAAAAAATGCCTTAATCTCCATTTAATATAAATAAATTCCATTTTATTTGTAAAATTGATAAATCTGCATAAAGCATGGAATGTTATGCGTACAAAATTTCTTTTTAGCGTTTAGATATATTTTCTTTACAAAATAGTTTAGAAAAGTTGTAGGTGACTTCACATCTTTTAATAATAATATAGAAAATTTTAGATAAATTTACATATGTTAATATAATATTTTAGGAGTTTTTAGTTGTTTAAACATATAAATTTTATGTTCTATTGAACAAGCTAATTTTATATCGTTTGTAATAAACTGACACACCGTAAATTATATGACATGTTAACCTCACATTGTTAATTTATAATTATTATTTAATATTGTTTACTCTCATCTTTAATTTATAATATTTTTTTCTTGCTCTTTTAAGAGAAGATCAATAGTGGTTCCCCACTTCTTTCTGACTCGAACTCAATACCTATTTATAATTATTATTTAATATTATTTACTCGTACATCGCACGGGATACGCACTAGTTTATATTTATAAAGATAGAATAAATTTGTTATTTTGCATACATAATATGAATGTCAACTCGGTGATTAATTTGATATATAATATATGAAAAAATGATAACAAATACAAGAATTAATTAGTTGTAAAATATATTTATAATTTAAATTAACTAATTGTCTTATAATTGTAAAAGTCTTGGCTCACATTAATAAAAATATCAAATAAACAAAGTTTTCAAAATATAGGATTAACAACATATCATTACGAAGCACAAAAAGCCTGACTTGGAGAATTCTGTATAAAGAGTACATTTGTTCTCAATAAAATGATACTTCTTTTCGCTAATCATATCTATATATATATAATAAGAATTAGCATTTATCAAAAATAGTAACCTAAATTTTCGGACAACATTAATTGCTTAGTATTCTCGGATTGTTTTTTTCTTTTTTGAACATTAAATCAGCCACCGTAAACAAAATCATACAACAATGCATTTGAATTTGAATTGAAATTTTGAAACACAATCCTTCTTAAATTTGTTTTGCCACCAAATCGGAATCAATCCAAAATTCCTCCCTAAAATTAAGTATTTTGTTCAAATTGATTTAAAAAATATCTTATCACATGCACTATTGTTGGTCGGCCAAATAAAATCATTCCTTAAAGAAAGGCTTTTGCACTATTTTAAATTGACAATCTTCTTGATAAATACCCAATTTGTAGAAATTCTTAATAGATTAGGAATTTGAAATCAATTCAAAATCATCTATTTGAATATATAGATTGGACGAATTTGAAATCAATTCAAAAGTTCACATAGGACGAATTTCTACATAAAATATTTTTCAAAATTTGAATACTCTTTTCCATTATCAAAATATATAATAAAAATTAGATTTATTTCAGCCTATTTTCTTTCACAACTCTAAATATCCTACTTTTATAATATTTTAGGTGTTTATAATATTTTAAACATATATTTTTAATGTTCTTTTATAAAAGATAATTTTATATTGTTTACAACTGAATACGATAAATTATATCACATATTAACTCCACATCTTTAATTTATAATTATTAATTAATATTATTTACCATTATCTTTACGTTATAATTATTAGTGAATAAGATTTTCTCTTATCTTTAATCTATATCTATATCTATATAAAGAGGTTGTTGGAAAAATACATTAATAGAAAGTTTGACCAAATAAATATAATGTTTGACTTACTATTAATGGAAAGTTCAAAAAAATACATGTGAATCTGTAGTAACAAAATCTAAATCCTATTTTTTTGGTAACAAATTTAAAGATTCTTATGGCAAAATTTGAATCCCATTTTTTTCGTATCATATTTTAATTTTTTACCAAAATTTAAATCATATCTTTTTTTGTAACAAATTTGGAGATTCTTATGCCAAAAATGTGTCAATTATTTATGAAAACAATTCTAAATACAAATTAATTTAAAAACCGTGTAAGTTGGATACAAATTTAGAAAGTAAATAATTGTATAATTCTTAACTAATTCTTCCAATCTTATTGAATAATTTTTTCTTTCAAAAAAAGTGTGTAAATTGGATAAAGCCACGTGCAATTTTTATTTTAAAATAAAACTGATATTTAGACGGGATGTACATTCAAAATTGTGTCTACATTTTTTTTGGTAACAAAACCGGTTCATCATTGATATTTAAAGTCCCCTTATCCAATTATTTAGGAAAAAATTGTGTGCAACTTTTCAAAATTTAAATGCAACGATTTTTTTAGATTCTTATGTTTTTTCTTAAATATGTTTTACCGAGATTTTGGTAAGTTCATATCAATTTTCTTTTTTTGGTTAAGTTCATATCATTTTCTTTAGGAAAGAGACAGTTGCATAAACATTAACAATTTATTTTAATTTTTTATTATAATTATTTTCAATTCAATTTGCTTGGTACAAAAATCGGTGCAATGTTAGGAAAATTCAGTTGCATTTTTAGGAAAAATTGATGATTTTTTTATTTGGTTTAAAAAAAAAAATCAGATCAATTTGTTTGATAAAAAAATCGGTTTATTGGTAGAAAAATCGGTTTCATTTCCAGGAGTAACTAATGATTGTTTTCAATTTTTCTTAATTAAAATTTAGAATTAGATTTAAAATAAATATGGGTGAAAATCCCTAAAAAATTCTACTTTTTTTTCTATTTTAATTTTGTTTAATAAATAAGATCTTTTATTTTTTTTTAAATTTGTTAACTAATAACTAATAATATGCAATTTTGGATAAATTCGAACACATATGTAGTACTTTACGTGCCAAAGAATCAAATCAATAATGTTGTACATAAGGAAGTGTTTAATAACTTATAAATTTCATGAAATTTTTAATAGCATGAGACAATTTAAATACATAAATACTTTTTAAAAAATAAATAAGTAATAAATGTTCTCGTGCATCGCACGGGTAACGTACTAGTATATATAAAAAGATTAACATTTACCAAAAATAGTTAGCAAAGATTTTGCACAACATTTAATTCATATACTTTTGGAAATTTTTGTAAAGATTTTCAGACAAGATTAAATGAATAGCCAAAAACATTAGTTTTTGGTTCCATATACGTCAGTTGCCATTAAAAATTGGAAATATTATTGTATTTTTTATTTCACACGATGTAAATCAGATCCAAGAATAGTTTAATAATGGGTTTTGGTTCTTACTACTACACACGATGGATTGAAATAAGGAATCTAAAAAATCGGACCAATAATATTAGACAACTCTTTATTCTATACAAGCCTGAAAAATCGGACCACTAATATTAGGCTACTTTTATTCCATACAACATAACATCCTAAAATTTTGGATTCTCCGATTTTGAATATCAATTTTTCAAACCTTCAATCAAAATTATAACATCCTAAAATTTTGGATTCTCCGATTTTGAATATCAATTTTTCAAACCTTCAATCAAAATTCGAAGTAGATTGCATACAATATGCCATCCAAAAAATTCAAATTTCTTATACTTTAAAACTCCCAATTTTGAATTTTTTTACATAAGTACTTAAAAAAAACTAATTTTTATGTTCTCTCAACAAATTTAGGGTGAGATAATATGTTAGGCTCATAATATTTAATATAGTTTTAAACATATTGTTTAGATACTTTTTTTACACATTCTATCTATATATACATTTACATGTACACAATACATATACATATGTTAAATTTAAATATTTTTACATATTTTTTTAAAATTTTAAAATGTTAATTTAGAAAATTTTAGGTGACTTTACATATTTCAACAATGATATATAAAATTTTAGATATTTTTACATACGTTATATAATATTTTAGGTACTTTATATTTTAATTATACATTTTCTCATTTTTTTTATACTAGATAATTTTGTATTGTTTACAACTGATATAGGATATATCATATCACATATTATATCCACATCTTTAATTTATAATTATTAGTTAATATTGTCTACCATCACCTTTATTTTATAATTATTAGTTAATATTGTTTACCCATGCGTCGTACGGGCAACACATTAGTATAATTTGTATAATATTTAAAAAAAATGTCACTGCTGAAGGTCAGAAAATACGTCCACATTGGACAAAGGAAGAGAATGTGCTATTGGCAAAGGCTAACGTGACAATAAGTGACGATCCAATTACCGGTAATGATCAGAAGGCCAGAGCGTTTTCGGTACGTGTTGCAAATTATTACAACGAAATCAAACCTTTTGTTTATATTTATAGAAATTTAAATATCATAAGATCTCACTGGCATAATACGATTAAAAAAAGGTGTATCGGTTCAATGAGTGCTGTAACAATATTTACAGTGTTTATCGAAGTAGTTGTAGTGATGATGATATATTAAGTCGGGCTTACGAATAATATCGTATCGAGAGTAAGGGTGTAGCATTCAATCTTGAGCATGTATGGAGAATCCTTAAAGATCGTCCTATGTACACTCCACAGTCTTCTAATGATATTTTTGTTGAGAGAAGGACGAGAATTGATGAGTCTAGTGCTAGCAATACTTCATCAAAGGGGGATGAGAGTATTGACACAAATGAACTTCATGAAGTGACTAGCCCAATTGGACAGAAGACAACTAAACGAAAGGTTAAGGACAAAGACAAATCTAACCTTGTTGAGATGGCCACAGAATACAACAACATGATTAAATATCTTGCTTAGTTAACAGGCTTGATAAAAACGGAAGTTGAAGTTAAAAAAACTACTCTTGAGGAGAAGAAGTAGAGAAATCGTCGAAAAGACTATGAGATTTTATTGAATGACACAAGCCACATGACTCAAGAGCAACGTATTTCTCATGATAAAATGTGTCAAGTAAACCGAGAGAAATGGAACTTGTAGACTGTGTACTATCTATTTTAATTATCTTTGTATTTTTGTATGTTGTGATTTGTGAAATTAACCTTTAGTTTATATTTCATTTAAGTTGTTCCTGCTGAAAAAATAAAAATTCATTCATATCCTCTATTATTAAAAGAAGACATAAATGACGTGACAATTCATGAGTTGTATTGTCCATTTGAACAACATAACATGCAGAACAAATAAATATGTCAGAAAATAAGATATGAGCTATGATATGTTTATCAATTTGCTGACACGAATAAATGTGTCAGAATGTAAGGCATGTGTTATGACACATTTATCAATTTGATAACTTAAATCATTGTATCAAAATCACTTGATATTAGCTATGTCAATAATTTTGTCAGAAGATAAGGCGTGGGTAAAGAAGGCATGGGCTCTGACACATCTATCAATTTGATAACTCAAATTATTGTGTCGGAATCATGTGGTATGACCTATGGCAATAGTGTTGTCAGAAGATAATGTGTGGGCAAAGAAGGCATGAGCTCTGATACATCTATCAATTTTATAACTCAAATTACTGTGTCAGAATCATGTGGTATGGGCTATAACAATAATGTTGTTAGAAGATAAGGTGTGGGCAAAGAAGGCATGGGCTCTGACACATTTTTCAGTTTGATAACTCAAATTATTGTGTCGGAATTACGTGGTATGGGCTATGGAAACAATGTTGACAATAATATTGTCAGAATCATGTCATGTGGTATGGGCATGACATATGACACATTTATTATTGACAAGAATATGCAACAATGTCGTCAAAAATCTTATATGTAGAGATCTATATATTCAAAGCAATCCAACATTTTTTTTTCTTGAATAAAAAATCATAACAACAAAAATTTAGAATTTAATTAGAGCGATTAAAAGAAAATGTCTTAGTATTCATTTAGATCACACTCTAATTCATCATCACCCGCCGACAGTGAACATGGTGAGGACACAAACTATTCATAAATTGCAATGATATCATCCATTGGTCAACGAAACCACGATTTACTTCAAGCATATCAACGCAAACTTGAAATTCGTAAAAGAAGAAGGTTCATCTAGAGAAATCGTGATGTCGGGCGTGACAGACTCATAAGTGAATATTTCTCTGAGCATCCAGTCTACACGGATAACATATTCCATAGACGTATTCGTATGTGAAGAGAATTATTTCTACGAATTGTGAATGCACTTCAGACACGATCATCATACTTCCAGCAAAACATTGATGCAGCGGGAAGAAAGAGTTTGTCACCACTTACCACTTCAAAAATGCACGACAGTCATTCATCAGATGGCTTATGGAGTCCCAGCTGATCACCTTCGATGAACATTTACGTATGGGTGAGTCAACTGTAATTAAATGTCTTTCTAAATTTTGTGAAAGTGTGGTTGAAATTTTTGGTGATATATATTTGAGAAGACCCAATGCTAGCGATGTTCAACAACTTCCCCAGATGCACGAAGAAAATCATGGTTTTCCAGATATGTTTGGAAGCCTTGATTGTATGCACTGACAATAGAAAAATTGTATTGTTGCTTGGAAAGACAAATTCACAAGAGGACATGGGTCTCCGACAATTGTCCTTTAAGCGGTTGCTTCACATGTTTTATGGATATGACATGTGTTTTTTTGGTGTTGCCGGATCACGTAATGATATCAATGTATTATATGAATCTCCTTTATTTAAGAATGTATTGCAAGGAAATGCACTACATGTCAATTTAATAGTCAAAGGCACCCAATATACAAATGGGTATTATTTGACAGATTGAACATATCCGAAATAGGCTACATTTATAAAGTCTTTTTCTTGTCCATGAGATCCTAAAAGAAAGTTATTTAAAGAAAAACAGGAAGCTGCTCGAAAAGATGTGAAAAGAGCATTTGGGGTCATACAGTCTCGATGGGCAATTGTGAGAGGTCATGCTCGGTCTTAATATTATTCTACACATTATGATTGTTGAAGATGAAGGTGATCAAGTAGCGCATTAATACAATGACGAGGATGAAGGCCCCGCACAACATGTCCAAGGCTAAAATCGTAAATTTCAAGATTATATTCGTAGAAGTTCAGAGATACGAGACAATACAATGCATCACTCACTTCGTGCAGACTTAGTTGAACATATTTGGACACATTTTGCTACTAACTAAAAGGTTTTTTTTTCCCGTTCTACTATTTTTCATTTGTAATATTAATTTATGTTTTTTTAATCTAATAATATTACTTGTATTTTCAACATTTAAAATTAATTAATTTAATTAAAAAATACATTTATTTTTATTGCATTTTCAACATTTAAAATTAAATATTTTAATTAAAAAAATACATTTATTTTTATTGAATAAAAATATAATAATAGTATTGAATGAATGAGTAATGAGTCTCATTATTTGTATTTAAATGAATGAACCAATGTGAATGTGTGTTTAAATAATAGATGTTTAGTGGAAATATAATGTGGAATAGTGTGGATGAGAGATAGAGTAAATTGTGATTGAATAAATGATAAACGGTGTGAATGTCATTATACAATGTAAAATGTTTTTAATCTAAAAAAAATTAAATAAAATTACTGATCATTATAACTCAACATTCAGCAATCAAAAGATCTCCACCGTCGCTCGAGCGCATCCACGACGCCCTCAAAGCTGTCAAACCTGCCGCCGACCACATCGATCCCCACCCCCAACCTCTCCGCCCCCGCCGCCGTCACGGGGCCGTGCGCCGCCGCCACCATCCGCGGCCACATCCGCCTCACCGCCCCCCAGTCCGACCCCGCCGCCTCCAAGCCCTTCAGGAGCCCCTCCACCTCGCCGGTGCTCGTGAAGACGACCGCGTCCACCGGCCCCGCCGCCTCCAACAGCCCCGCCGCGCATCCGGCGCCGCACCACCGCGTCTCGTACGCGTCCACCCTGACGGGGACCCAACCCCTCGACCGCAACCCCGCCAGGAACCGGGGCACTACCGGCGGCTCCTCCAGGCCCGCGACAAGCGGGACGGGGCACATAACCTTCCTCCCCAATCCCCACCTCAGCGCCTCCACCATCCCGTCCGGCGTCGCCACCGGAGGCACCAGAACCCTAATTCTTGCCGGATTCCCGCACAGCCTAGCTGCGAAGGACTCATCTAGAAGCTCCGAGTCTTTCCCGAGGGCCGAAACCGTGAAAATTCCTCCGCCGGAGGGTAGAGGAGGCGCGGGGACTGCGGCGAGGGCTTCGTCGAAGGCGGTGATGCCGGTTCTGGAGGTGAACGCCAGGGCAGAGAAGCCGCAGAGAGGGGGATCGGGCGGGAGGAGGTATTGTTGAACGGAGGAGATGGTTTGCGGGGTGGGGCCGACGGCGAGGGTAGGGCACCAGAGCGGATCCCAGTCCTTGAGGCGAATGAGCCGCGAGAGCCTACCGGCGTAGTTTTCCGGGGTGGTGAAGGCGATTAGACGGCGGTTATTGGGTAGTGGTGAAGAAGAAGAAGAAAACAAGGGCGGATTTTGGTGTGAATTGAGGGTTATCATTTTCAGCGTACTATCAAAATCTCGTTCTTGGAGGTTGGAGAAATATCCTTTTTTTTTCCCCTTCATTTACCATTATTTTTAGATCAAAATTACCAATATCAATTTTTTTAGGGTTAAGCAATTACATAATTTAAAAATAAAATATTATATTCTAAACAAAAATATGAATAAAACTGACTTTCTTTTGTGATAAAAGTATGACAAATTGATTGTTAGACCGCTCTATACAAAAAATTGTGTATACCAATAAGAGCATCTCTAATGGAAAATTCTTCATGTTATGTTGTATGGCATGAAGAATGAAAACTAAAAAATTAGTGGTAATGGTGCTTTATAGCACTTCAACTAAACAAAAAATGAAATCTAGACATTGGTGTAAGAAAAATGAATTATAGCCATTTAGTCATGTGAGAAGACATAATTACCTTTAGACACCATTTTATCAACTTTTTCTCATTTTTATATTTTTCACCATTTTCTCCCTTTTTTCACCATCTTCATTTTCCCCCTTTCTTCAATCTCTCATTTCCCCGATTTCGAATCTTTCTCTCTCTCTTCTCCGATTTCATCTCCTATTTCATTTCCATTGTATTCACTTTTTCATCCGCCAGCCCCTTTCCCCTTTCATTTTCATTTTTCTCCCCTTTGCAAACCGCCCGCCCCTTTCCCCTTAAAATTTTCTCCGCTGCTCTTCTCGGCGATTATTCCGGTGAGTCACGGTCCATTGAGCTTCTCGCTCGCTTTCAACGAGTTCTCTTCTTGTCCACAGAGCCGCAGCTCTCTTCTCCGGCGATTCAAGGTGCGTTTTTTTATTTTTTTTTTGTGTTTTTTAGGCGATTTTTAAGGGTTTTTTAGTTTAAATGTGTATTTTGAGTTCTTCTCCGGCAATTCAAGGTGCATTTTGTTATTTTTTTGGGTTTTTAGGTGATTTTTAGGGTTTTTAGGGTTTGGTAGCTAGCCTTGAAAGTTGGGGTTCGGAGAAGTTATATAACAAGATTATACTTACGGTTGATCTATAGTTAACAACCCATTTCGAAAATATTGTGCTTCTCATATGGTTTTGGTATGTTTTTATCTCAAGCGTATATGTGTATAAGAAAATCTTTTACTCACTTTTTTCCTCGCCCGAGACATAATTCATTTGAAACTCTTCAAGAAATGGGATGGATATGTTTTGAATTATGTGTTATTGGATCTTAATGGTAAAAAATATGAGTTTTTGTTGTGTTGTTTTGAATGGGCAAAGATTATGGGAAATTGAACAAAGCTTAAGCATTTAGATGATTTTGTGAGTGATGGTGTGAGAGGGAAATTGAACAAACCTTATTTTCGTTGTTAAGGTTTGCAAGTTATCTTCTCTTTGTGTTGTGAATCATGTTTGATGGTTAGAGCATTTCTTGTTTTTGGAATGGATGTAAATGAGACTTTTTGAGTGTAGTATTCATTCTTAAATGTACCTTTTTTAGGATATTTTTTGTCAATTCTCATTTTTGTAAAAATGTAAATTGAGCATGCACTTGTTAGTGTAAGATCTTTCATTTTACTTCTATCAGTCGGGTGGCATATGTGCTGCTGAATTGTTCTGAATATTATCGGTTTCTACAATCAAATTGTGGCTGTTTTACTTGCTTATTAATATTGTCTTGATGTGGACAATATTATTTGAGAAGAAAATCTATCTTGATTTGAAAACTTTGTTGAGGATGTTGGTCATTGAGTTGCAGGTAGTGGCAAGTATGCGTAGAGTATTAGGAAACTCAAAATAGAGCTGTATGCCACACTATGTATGTTTTCAGTTTTGAGTTAATTGGGCTTTTGCTACTAATTTGATATATCGTGAAGAAGTAGTCATCTTTAAATGTAAATTGATGCATTTCTTCATTTTCTTAATTTGAAAAAAGATCTTCATACAAACCTCTTACCTATTTGAGGCGCTATTCTTAGAACACGACGAGATGGCAACCGCTAATGAGGTATGATGTTTTTTTGCACAAAAATAAGTTTTGTAGTTTACGTGGAAAAACTTCAGTTTTTTTGTTCAAGATCATTAGTTTCTAATGAGTTTATGTTGTTTACTCAAGAAAGAGTTTGTAGTTTAACTTCTGTTTTCTTGACAAGAAACAGACTTCTGGAGTAGGAAACCTGTTTCTTGTCAAGAAACTTGTTTCTTGTCAAGAAGCCTGTTTCTTGAGAAGAAGCCTGTTTCTTGACAAGAAACCTATTTCTTGTAAAGAAGCCAGTTTTTTGAACAAGAAACTGGTTTTTAACCTATTTTTTAATATTGTGTTTTTAAAGAAGTTAAAATAATATTGATTGTTTCATGATTGTTAGGGGGACTGTTGGAGTTGGAGATGGGGTAAAGGTTACACTTGGGGCGGCAGAATCAATTGTCAGACGAAGCCTAAAGTAATAGGCTATATTAAAAGTCAATTAGGTGCTTGTGGCCGTCTTCGGGAGTTTGAACAATCTTGTTTTGGACATTTCTTGAGGTTTGATGAGCAAGCGTACTACAGTGGGAGACTACTACTTGCCTTACTTGGTCGAGAGGTTTTTCTATGTGACGCTCGAGAGAAGGAGCGTTGGTTTCGAATTGAAGGTAATAATTATAAATTTAGGAAAGTCGAATTTTGCCAAATCAGTGGTTTGATGTTTGGTGGGTCGGAATTCATCATCGAGGAGAGAGTTTACCGGCCATTGATGGGGTATATCGACGCCACTATGACGGCAAGAGTGTGATAAGAGGTGATCTGTTGAGGGATTTCACGAACGGTCATTTTTAGAATATTCCCGATGACGTGCTGAAGGTTTCCATGATCTTAATTGTTCACTATTTCTTATTTGCACCCGACCAGAGGTCCGCTGCGCCACTTTGGCTTTGGATGTTAGTTGAAAATTTGGACATGTTCGGGAAATTTCCTTGGGGCACATTTTCCTTTCAGCGTTTATACCATTGTCTCGATGGTATAAGTGAACCAGATGAGGGGTGTGACGTTCAGTTGAACATCCATGGTTTTTTAATGCCTTTTCAGGTACATATACAATTTTACAATTGTTTCATTATTTTTTGTTATTTAGTTTAAAAAGACCATTTACGATTTTTTTTTTTCTAAATAGATATGGGCTTGTGAGATGATGCCCGAGTTTGTATGAGGAGGTGGAATGGTATGCATCGGACATGGTCTACCGCCCGAAGAAAAAATTTCTTCAGTTGTCTGACATTGATAAGCCCGAGGTAAATATATATGTTCTACATTAAAATTGCTATATAATTCTTGTTATGAAATTATTCTTATTCTTCAATTTGTCATTTTTTTTTGTTTGGCATTTTCTTAATAGATTCAATGTAGACCAAAATGCTGTAGAGTAATGGCCCTTTTCGTGGCATCGTGAACAAAATGCTGAACTTCGAGAGTTGGAAGAAGGGCTAGTAGAAGGTATACGGTTCGACCTCGGCCTTCCGGCTTGCTTGGGATTAATAGGGGATTTGACAACCATTAAACTAGGCACTGTAGTTAAGTCCCATGTGGTTAGATGCGCAATTGGCATGATCATCGGCTCGTAAAGTTTGCGCAACGTTGTCGTCTTATAGTAATCGTGCACATATCCATATACCGAATCATTTGCCTTCCTAAAAATGGTACATGCATATAACATTTTATTATGGGGTACAATAAACAACAAAAGTAAAAAAATTAAAGCTTTTATTAAATTAAAAAAAAATTTACCCGATAGCCTTTATAGCATGTGCACAAGGCATTAAATCGACCTGGAAGGGAAAACAAGTACAAGTCCGATCATTCAAATTGACGACAAAATTCTTGACCCCGTCTTTCACGTGGTAAACATGGTGATTGATATTTGAAGCTTCCATTTTGTCGGCTTCAATTATATAATCCACCAAACGCTTAGATATTGATGGAGTAACTTCACAATCTGTGTTTTCTGCCTCGATGCGTCTTTCGTAGAACCACTTTTGCATGATGTTTCGAATACATTCAAACAAAGAGCAAACCGGCAATTTTCTTGCCCAACGAAGCCTATTGTTCAGAACCTCACAAGCATTTGAGGTCATGAAACTATATCGTCTCACAGGACATTGACTTCGTGCCCGCCTATCTGGATTGGCTCCAATCAACTCCTTCCATGGTTCCTGATGTTTTTTTGCAAGCTCAGCCATCGACTTTTGCAACACAATAGGGGAATAAGTATATGCAGCTTTCATATATAAACCAACTGCTTTAACACCGTGACTTCGAATATTCTGTCGTAGGTGGTACGAACATACGACATGTACGGCATCAGGGTAAATAACGTCCATAGCATATTTTATGCCTGTGTTTCGATCAGAAACAACCACTAAATTTTCCAGACATCCAAATGTGGAGCGAATTTTTTGGAGAAACCACATCCAAGAACTATGACATTCTTTATCGCCAATACCAAATGCCAATGGAAAAATTTGTTCATTTCCGTCGTTTGTCGCTGCTACAAATAAGATGCCTTTATACTTACCCTTCAAATGAGTACCATCAATTACAATCACAGGCCGACAGTAATTGATGAAGCCTGAAGACGCGTGAAAAGAAATGAATGAATACTGGAACACATCTTCATTATCGGTCTGAATATATGCCGATGCTCTAGGATTTTCCTTCAAAGACATATGGAAATACGCCGGCATAAGTTCCCAGGATTTCTTGTGATCGCCGTAAATGTAGTCATAGGCAACATTTTGGGACTTCAGAGCTTTATCGTATTTCAGCTTAATACCATGATCACGCTCCATGTCACCAATAATTTCGGCAGGCTTCAATAATCGGCCCTCTATCAATAGCTTCGGTGCAAATAATGCTCCAATGATCTTAGAAGGCAATTGTCGTGGCGCTGAATGACCGAGGTTAACAGAACATGTATGTGGATGGTTGAATTTAGAAATTACCCAACTTTTTCCAGTTAATGCATTTGCAGAAAGCAAGAATGGGCATTCTTATGCTTGCACA